TGTTGGTAATCCCAGCAGTTTCCTTCAGGCAATGACAGATTCTGAGTTGGTTTAATGATCCCTCACCTGTGCAGCTGCCTCTCAGGATCTCTCTTTCCTCTGAGCCCTGGAGATCTGGAGCCCACGGCTCTTCCCCTCGTTCCAGCTGGGAGATGACATCAGGTTTGGAGACTAGAAACCCTGCTCAGGGGAAAGAAGACCAGTGAGATCAGGTGAATTTATGGGACATTTGTCACACACAAAAAAAGTTCTTTTAACTCCAGCCCATTTTAAAGCAGTAGAATCCTGGGGACAGCTCTCCAGGTGCTCAAAGGTGCAGGACCCTCTTCTCATGAGGGATTTAACTGTGCCCATGTCTACTAGGAACACACACAGCCAGACACTGATGATCAAAGGGGCTCCTAAAACCCAGAGCAGGCAATTCTATGTCCCAGCAAGTGAAGACTCCGGCCAGAGGGGAAGTCCACCTGGAACTGCTTCTTACTGACAGAGAGAGGGCCAGAGACACTGCAGGAGAGGGAAAGGCATGAGGCCTGACAGCTGAAGGGGGACACTCAGACACGAGGAACGGCACAGAAAGGCAGCTAGCCCTGATAATCACTATGACCCCCACAATCCTTCCTCTAACTGCTCTCACCCTTCTCCACCTCCTGGGACCTGAGGAGCAACCACTCCTTGTGTTCTCTCCTTTCCTCCCATTGCCCACAGCCCTCCGCACTACCATCCTCCCAAATTCTCTGATATAGTACCTAGCTATAAAAAGGGAATAAGGACAGCCCAGGGAATTATAGACCAGTCAGTTTAATTTTGGTAACCGGAAAGAAAATGGACCAAATAATTAAACAATCAGTTTCTAAGCATCTTGAAGAAAATAAGGTGAGAAGTAACTGTCAACATGGATTTGTCAAGAAGAAATCACATCAAACCAACCTAATATCCTTCTTTGACAAGTAACAAGTAGAGCCCTGTGTAGATACAAAAAGGTGTATCCGCATCTGATCCTGCGGATCGGATATCCACAAATACAAAGCGGATACCTGCGGATTTACAGGGCTCTAGAAACAAGCCTTTTGGATGTGGGGGAACAGTAGATGTGATATAACTTGACTTCTGATACTGTCTCACATGACCTTCTCTTAAGCAAACTAGGGAAATATTGACTAGACGAACCTACAATAAGAAGGGTGCACAACTGGTTGGAAAACCATAGTCAGAGAGTAGATGTCAATGGTTCACAGCCAAGATGGAAGGGCATATCGAGTGGGGTCCCTCAGATCTCTCCTGGGTCCAGTTCTATTCAGCCGTTTTAATCCAACCCTCGAGCTCCTGCTTCGGTGCTCCCGCCGGGAAGCTGGGTCGGGGGCCGCTCCACACAACTCCCAGAAGCAGCAGCATGGGCCCCTCCAGTGCTCTAGCCAGGGAGCAGGGTCTGTGATGGGTTGTGTCACAGAAACTCCCTCAAGACTGTCAGTAGATGTGCTGGGATACCACTGAGAGCAAACCCCCCTGTGACGTTGTGCAGTCTATATGGTTTTATAAAAACATGATAATAAGTGAATATAATGTAACTGGGATAATTTTAGAGAAAATATGGTAATAAGTGAATATAACGTATTTGGATATGCTTCATGCAAAAGGTCTCTTGTAAGGTATCATTACAAAGCTTATAATCTACTGAGTATGATCATCTGATTTGTATAAATGTACCACTCTTGTATCTAAAACTAGAAATATAAAATGTAACTCTGAGGGCCTATTGTAATTATGTAAAGTGTGGGCCATTAATGATGGTTTGGGATCTTGATGACTCCCATTGTCTGCAGATGGCTGTTTACCTGTGAGTCTCCCTGTATATGTGTGTGCTGGCAAGTGAGTAATGAAGTCTTGCAGTGACATGTGATCATGTCACCTGAACTGGAATCCATCTTTAACCTGGTGCTTTTCCAGTGATGGGGGGTGAAAACCCAGAGGGACAAAGGGTTCCCGCCTTATGCAAAAGATATATAAAGGGGTGGAAGAGAACAGAGGAGAGGAGCCATCATGAAGAATCCCCTAGCTATGACCTGAGCTGCAACAAGAGCTGTACCAGGGGAAAGAATTGTGCCCAGGCCTGGAAGGTGTCCAGTCTGAGAAAAACTTACTGAAGCATCTCTGAGGGTGAGATTATCTGTATTTAGTTTGATTAGACATAGATTTGCGCATTTTATTTTATTTTGCTTGGTGACTTACTTTGTTCTGTCTGTTACTACTTTGAACCACTTAAATCCTACTGTCTGTATTTAATAAAATCACTTTTTATTTAGTAATTTACTCAGAGTATGTATTAATACCTGAGGGAGCAAACAACTGTGCATATCTCTCTATCAGTGTTATAGAGGGCGAACAATTTATGAGTTTGCCCTGCATAAGCTTTATGCAGGTTAAAACGGGTTTATCTGGGTTTAGACCCCATTGGGAGTTGGGCATCTGAGTGCTAAAGACAAGCACACTTCTATGAGCTGTTTTCAGGTAAACTTGCAGCTTTGGGACAAGTAATTCAGACCCTGGGTCTGTGTTGGAGCCAGACTGGAGTGTCTCGCTCAGCAAGACAGGGTGCTGGAGTCCTGAGCTGGCAGGGAAAACAGAAGCAGGGGTAGTCTTGGCACATCGGGTGGCGGCTCCCAAGGGGGTTTCTGTGATCCAACCCGTCACACCCCCTGCCAGAGAAGGCTTCCCTCCACCCCCATCTTGCTGAGTTAGACACTCCAGTCAGCTACAGCACAGACCAAGAGGTTGGGCCACGCCCCCCTGCAGTGCACAGAAACTAAGATTCACTTAGCCCAGGGATTTCTCAGTTAACAGGGAGTTTCCCAGCACCCAGTATTCAGTCTTTCTGGGAGCCTAAACCCCAAATGAATCCATTTTAATCTGTATAAAGCTTATACAGGGTAAACTCATAAACTGTCCGCTCTCTATAACACTGATAGAGAGATATGCACAGCTGTTTGCCCCGCCCCCCCAGGTATTAATTACTTACTCTGAGTTACTTAATAAGCAAAAGTGATTTTATTAAGTATACAGAGTAGGATTTAAGTGGTTCCAAGTAATAACAGACAGAACAAAGTAAGTTACCAAGCAAAATAAAACAAAACACGCAAATCTAAGCCTAATACAGTAGAAAACTGAATACAGGTAAATCTCACCCTCAGAGATGTCCCAATAAACTTCTCTCACAGACTAGTTTCCTTCCTAGTCTGGGCCCAATCCTTTTCAGACCAACACTGTAGTTTATGGCAAGAAGTCATTCTTTCACTCTACTCAGCACTGATAAGGCCTCAACTGGAATATTGCATCCTGTTCTGGGCACCAAACTTTGGGAAAGATGTGGACATATTGGAGAATGTCCAGAGAAGAGCAAATCAAAAATTATTAAAGGTCCAGAAAACATGACCACCGAGGAAAGATAGAGAAAATTTGTTTCTCAATCAGATTTGTTTAGTCTGGAGAAGAGAAAACTGAGGGGGGACATAAGTCAGCAAGTACATAAAAGGTTGTTAGACAGAGGAGGGTGCTAAATTGTTATCTTTATCCACTGAGGAAAGCACAAGAAGTAATGGGCTTGAATTGCAGCAAGGGAGATTTAGGTTAGACATTAGTAAAAACTTTCAAACTGTCAGGGTAGTTAAGCACTGGAACAAATTACCTAGGATGGTTGTGGAATCTCCATCATTGGAGGTTTTTAAGACCAGGTTGGAAAAACACCACTAGGAGGTGATCTAGATAATATTTAGTACTTACTTAGGGCTGTGAAATGGTTTTATAGGGTCTTAGATGACTCTAGCCTTTATATAGGCTCTCCTGGCTCTGCCCCCTTTAGTGTATGTCTACACTACACTAGGGAGCAAGCCTTTCAGCCAGTGATGCTCATGCTAGCACATTAACAATAGCTGGGTAGATATTGCAACTCAGGCCTGAGCTCAGGCTCCCAAGCCCACCCTGGCTTGCGAGACCGAGCTCCAGCCCAATCTGCAACATCTAAACAGTTATATATAGCCCTCCAGCACAAGTCTGGGGACCCAGGCTGGGAGGATCTCTCCCAAAGGCAATGTAGACATACCCATATTGTGCTATTTCCTAGGCTTTGCTTTTTGCAAGCGTGATCCCCACGCTCCACCACTCGAGAGACAGGACGTTCTGGAGGTAACACCCCTTTGTGTCATGATGGCACTTCAGTGAGTCCCAATGATTTCAGACTCCTCATAAACACCATCTCTTTTGGGGTGCTGCAGCCAGTAGGTATTTGCAGCAACACAATAGAGCCTTTTCAGAACAAAACCGCACTGCTTAGGCAACTGGAACACAGGATTTACAGATCCCTTGGTCACTCTGGGAACGCAAAACTGAACTCTACATTCATTTTGGCAGAGTAATCTGCCTGGCTTTTCCAAAGCCTTCTCAATTTCATCTCTCTCTCTCTGTCTCCCAGTCTCAGTCCTTTTGCCCTGGATAGTAGCTCATTTCAGTGCTGAGTGTTGTAGGTAGCGTCAATAAAGGTGCACAAGAGTGTGTTCTTGCCACGAGAGTTGTCAGCTGTTTGGGGACATATATGCTAGTGGTCTCCAGGCCTCAGTGAGGGGTAAGTGAAGGCAGTGACTCAGAAGGAATCCTCACTGCAAAGGTAAAGGGGTGGTGACATTATGGAAGTCAGAGATGGACTGTGTGCAGTAGGCTTAGTGTTTGAGTGCAGGCCAGGGATAGGTAGCTTCTGTTCCCAAAGTGTTCTGTAGTGGGGAGAGTAGAGTGCTAGTCTATGTGTCATTGGCCTGTTGGGGTGTTGCTGAAACAGGGCAGAGTTGAGGCTGCATTGTGGGGTGTTGTGAACCTTAACTCTTCATTTCCCCTTCTAATAACCGAGGGGACAGGAATCCTTACCCAACAAGATCACATTCTCATAGTTCTCCTGCATGATGTCTCTGTAGAGGGCTCTCTGAGCGGGGTCCAGCAGAGCCCATTCTTCCTTGGTGAAATACACAGCCACCTCCTCGAAGGTCACCGGCCCCTGAAAGAAGAAGAGCCCCCCACTCAGTACCTGCTGCCCACTGACAACCCCATTGTTCACAGGGGAGGAGGGCCAATCACATGGAAGGTCTTGGAGGCAGGCAGGCAGCAGAGTCCCACCCCCACCCCATCAGAGCAGCCAGGAAGCATCAAGGTGAGGGGAAAAAGAGAGAGAGAGCCCCTCACCCATTCTAGCAGTAGAGATGGAAGGGGTCTTCACATTCATCACTCACCTACTAGCCAGAGGCTGTTTCAGGAGATGGAGCCCCCAGCAGGGCCCGGAGACAACTCCCGGGTGTCAATCCCAACACCCTCCCCATGCCAGCAGCCAGATGGGAGGGGATGGGGAGTCTTCTCTAGGCTTCACTGGTGGGTGCCCCTTCATATCTTATAGCATCCTCTAGCTAGTAGGTTCAGGCTCCAGCACCTGGGAGTTTCCCCAGCCCAGTCCAGGGGGGCTGTTTCCTGTTCCACAAGTTAGGGAACTTCCACAAACCCCCTGGGTCTGTTACTAGGATCCAGGCCCTACAGTAAACAAATCCCAGCAGGTCTGTCACACCCTGTCCCCCTCCCCTTCTCCACACTCTGTATTTCCTGCCCCCTTCTCCCTCCAGACCATCACCCCTTCCAGAAGTGCCCACCTCCTATGTATTTACTGCCCTTCTCCCGCCAACAGGAACCCACCAGCAACTACCTGATAATCCCTACCTGCACTGGCTCCACGGCAGCCATTTCCCTTCCCTGTCCTCCAGAAGGATGGAATGTTACACTGCAGCCTGTCAGGGCAATTGGGGACATGTCAGAACAGTAACATCACATCACAATTCCCCCCAGCTCTTTCCCCGCAGACTGATGTTCTAGACTCTGTCACGCAAATAACACAATTAGTAATAACACAATACAATTCAAAACACAATTAGTAATGGGGGGGGGGGACTTTAACTACCCAGACACCTGTTAGAAAAGGAATTCAACCAAATACAAAGTGTCCAATAAGTTCTTGGAATATGTTGGGGACACCTGTTTGCTTCAGAAGATGGAAGCAGTAACCAGGGGGACAGGCATTTTAGGGTTGATTCTGACTAACAGGCAGGAGTTAGTTAGGAAACTGAAGGTGGAAAGCAATATGGGCGAAGGTGTTCATGAAATGATGATTTCATGATTCTAAGAGAAGGAAGGCGTTCGAGTAGGAAAATAAGGACAATGGATTAAATTCAAAATGATCTGGACAAACTGGAGAAATGGTCTGAAGTAAATAGGATGAAATTCAATAAGGACAAATGCAAAGTCCTCCACTTAGGAAGGAACAATCTGTTGCACACATACAAAATGGGAAATGACTGCCTAGGACGGAGTACTGCGGAAAGGGATCTGGGGATCAGAGTGTTTATATTGTTCCAGCAGATTTTTCCTAAACAAATAGGTCCACTGTGGCTTTTCCAAATTACTGCAATTAATATAGATCCATTTTTTCTTTTCCACAATTTTTCAAGTCTTCTCCGCAACTCAGCTGCAATTATTTGAAGATCATCCTGCAATTCAGGTAGGGTCTTAATTAATATTAACCAAGAGGAGGAAGAAACAGAAACCACAATAGGGAAATAACAGGTTAAAAAAATATTTAGATAAATTAGATGTATTAAAGTCAGCGAGACCTGATGAAATTCATCTTAGGGTACTCAAGGTATTAGCTGAAGCAATCTCGGAACCATTCACAATTATCTTTGAGAACTCCTGAAAGATAGTGAGGTCCCAGAAGACTGGAGAAGGGCAGACATAGTGCCTATCTTTAAAAAGGGACACAAAGAAGACTAGGGAATAAATACCAGTCAAGCCTCACGAAGGTATCTGGAATGAACAAATTATTAAACAATTAATTTCTAAGCACCTAGACTCAGAGGATAGTAAGATGATAAGTTATAGCCAGCATGGATTTTCAAAAACAAATCATGCCAAGTCAAACAAATTTCCTGCTTTCACGGGGTACTGGTCTTATGGATCCGGGGGACATTGTAGACAGGACATATCTTGATTTTAGTCAGGCTTTTGAGACAGGCCTCCATGATATTCTCATAGCGAACTAGGGAAATGTGGTGTACATTAAAGTACTATAAAATGGGTGCACATTTTGTTGAAAAGGCGGTCTACAGGGGCCAGTTCTGGCTCTGATACTGTTCAATATTTTCAGTTATTTCTTGGATAACAGACTGGAGATCATGCTTTCTAAATATGCAGATAACACAAGCTGTGGGGGGTTGCAAGCATGTTGGAGGACAGGATTTGAATTCAATATAACATTTACAGACTGGAGAAGTGGGCTGAATGAAAAGATTAAATTCAGTAAAGACAAGTGTAAAGTACTAGACTTAGGGAAGGAAAACCAAATGCACAACTAAAAAGTGGGGAATAACTGGCTAGGGGGTAGTACTACTGAAAATGATCGGGGGTTATAGTGAATCACAAATTGAAGCCGAGTCAATTATGTGATTCAATTGTGAAAAAAAAAAATTAAGCACTGGACTAGATTAGCAAGAGAGGTGGTAGAATTCCCATCATCAGTGGTTTTTAAGAAAGGGTTGGCCAAACACCTCAGTGCTGGGGGCTGGACTAGAGGACCTCTCGAGGTCCATTCCAGCCCTACATCTCCACGATTCTATGCTGAGGAAATGTTTGGTCACTGACCCAGCCCCTCCCACCAGGATTAAACCATTGAGTCATTTTGAAACCCTCCCAGTAACAAAGTCTAGGAACCAAATGGGAGAGAAGAGCAGAAGGAGTGTGTGACGGTGCATATATATAACATAACTAGAATGTGTTTTATGCTACATATACCAGGTAACATCTCTGTAAAGGTCATAATCTATTGAATCTATTAATCCTATATGTATGCATGTATCATTTTTGTATTCAAAGTTATGAATATTGGCTGCATACTTGTTTGATTCTAAGTAGCCTGTAGTGAAGCAGTTGGTCAGCTTCCTGAGAAAAGACTATTCTCAGCAAGTGCCCCATCAAGAAACACTTAAGCCAACAATGAACTTGGAGACACCAATCCACATCTGGACTTTCCCAGGAATGTGGCTTGGCTGGTAAGGAACTCAGTCATGCATGGACATGTGACTTGCCCAGGTGACTCCAAAACTCCATTTTGTAGCTGGACTTTGCATAGGAGAGAGGAGGGGGTCTCCACCCACAAGAGAAAGTCTATTTAAGCCCAGGGGAGACCCCTCCATTTGTCTTCAGCTGGCTAAAGAGAGAGCCTCTCCACCCCCAAAGATACCAGAAAGAAACTGGAACAAAGGACAGTGACTGCAAGGGGTGTGAGTGACTGCTGAACTCAGACTAAAAGGAGATTAGTCTGTAAAAGAAAGCATTCTGGAACTGGTGAGGATCTTATCTGTATTCAGTTTCTTACTGTATTAGACATAGACTGGAGTGTTTTATTTTATTTTGTTTTACTTGGTAATTCACTTTGTTCTGTCTGTTACTACTTGCAATCACTTAAATTCTACTTTCTGTATTTAATAAAATCACTTTTTACTTATTAATTAACCCAGAGTATGTATTAATACCCGGGGAGCGGGTGGGAGGGCAAACAGCTGTGCATATCTCTCTATCAGTGTTATAGAGGCCAAACAATTTATGAGTTTACTCTGTATAAGTTTTATACAGGGTAAAACAGATTTATTTGGGTTTTAGACCCCATTGGGAGTTGGGCATCTGAGTGTTAAAGACAAGAACACTTCTGTAAGCTGCTTTCAGTTAAGTCTGCAGCTTTGGGGCAAGTAATTCAGACCCTGGGTCTGTGTTGGAGCAGACGGGTTTTTCTGGCTCAACAAGACAGGGTGCTGGAGTCCTAAGCTGACAGGGCAGGAAAGCAGGGGCACAAGTAGTCTTGGCACATCAAGTGGCAGCTCCCAAGCAGGGTTCTGTGATCTAACCCATCACAGAGTGACTTTGGGGGATTTCCCCTGACATCATCCCCAGGGCAGCACATCTAACTACAGGGGGAACAGGGAGAGTCAGGAACTGGCTTTTCTTCTTCCTGCACCTCACCTTGCTCACAGGAAAGTGAATCTGCCCAGGAATGTTGCAATAAGTGTGTTTGGGCAAGCTAGAGATCTGGGAATCTCTCTCCCCAATTATTTCTCCCACTGCCCCTTTAGGTCTCATTCTCCTTGCATCTCCCTTCCCCTGCCCTTTCCTTCTGACAGTCAGACATTCCTGGGTGTTCGCTCTCCTATGGCTGGATCAGTTCCTGCAATTGCTAAGGGGAGGAGAGAGATGGGGTGAGGAGGGGCTGTTTGTGCAGAGTCACTTTCATGCCCATCCCCAGCACATTCCCTGAGGTCTTGATCAATCACGTGGAGTCTCTGGCTCAGATGTTGGTGTGGGCACAGCCTAGGGTTGACCTATGGGTAGGGCCCTACCAAATTGACAGACATGATAAACGTGTCACAGACCGTGAAAGCTGGTCTTTTGTGTGCTTTTACGCTATACCATACAGATTTCACAGGGGAGACCAGTGTTTCTCAAATTGGGGGTCCTGACCAAAAAGGGAGTTGCAGTGGGGGTTGCAAGGTTATTTTAGAGGGGTTGCGGTAAAAAATCTGTGGTGGTTTCATATCAACATTTGATAACTTTCTATCCATTTATCAGGAGCCCTTGCCAGCCATTCACAAAGGTGTTGGTAGCCCTGGATGATGCTTCTTTAACAGGAGAACAGACAGCATGAAGGAGCCAAAATTTTTAAGACATTTCCAGGCCCTGTGACTGGAAAATAATGGCTACCATCAGGGGCGGCTCTATGTTTTTTGCCGCCCCAAGCACGGCAGTCAGGCGGCCTTCAGCGGCATGCCTGCAGGCGGTCCGCGGTCACGTGGCATTTCTGCGGGTGATCTCCCGGTCACGCGGCTTCGGCGTACTCGCCGCCGAAACCACAAGACCGGCGGACCTCCCGCAGGCATGCCGCCGAAGGCCGCCTGACTGCCGCCCTCACAGCGACCGGCAGACCCCCTCCCGCGGCTTGCCGCTCCAGGAACGCGCTTGCTGCGCTGGTGCCTGGAGCCGCCCCTGGCTACCATAGACCCACCCGAGCAGTGCTACAGGAAGCAACCCCTCATGGAGACCATTCATCAGGGGTGGGGGGGGGTTTGGAGATACTGTACTACTGGTGACTGTGGTGAGGGGTTAACACAGTAGCATGGAGATTCTCAGCTACTCTGGGCACTGCCTGGGGCAGCAAGGAGCCCATCACAGAGTGAACCCCTCATCCTGTGCCCTCTGTGGAAAAGAAAAGGGTTCAGCCAACTGTCCTGTGAGCAGCTGGGAGACATCATTCTCCCAAACAGGGGGAGGCCTCTGGCTTTGATGTGTATTAAATATGGGGCAAGTCACTTTCATCAGCCAACATTTTAATGGAGATAAAGGGGGAAAGAAATGAGTCTCAAACAAGAGGGGAAAGTTGATTATTTAGCCCCATGCAACTGCCAGGATAGAGAATGGCTCAAGGCAACAAATTCCCCCTAGAAATGGAGAAGTTGCCACAACTCAACATGAGGAATACCACAACACTTTTTAACAGATATATGATAATTACACGGGGAAAAGGGGAAAATCTGACACAGTTGCAATTGCTGTTCGGTCATTACAGAGAGAAGGGTGGAAATGTGGAGAATTTCGGATGAGTTTTCACAAGCGAGAGAGGGAAGTGGGACAATGTGAGGGTTGAGGGGTTTTCTATCAGTAGTAGGGTTACCATTCGTCCGGATTCCCCCGGACATGTCCGGATTTTCGAGCTAAAAATAGCGTCCGGGGGGAATTTATAAATGTCCGGACTTCTCCCCCCCCACGCAGAGCGCGCGCGGCTAACAGGGCAGCCGGACGGATGGTGCCACTTACATGAGGCTCCGACAGCCAGAGAGCCCCCCTCCTCCCCCTGCAGCAGCGATCCCTCCCTGCATTCGCAGATCGCCTCCGGCAGTCTGGAGCTCCTCCCCCGCTCCTCCTCCCCTGCCAGCCAGCCTGCCGGGACAAACGGAGCCGTTCCTGAGCAAGCTCACATAGACATTAGGCGAAGGCCAACAACAAGGGGGCCAGGGGGTCGGAGAAGGGGCAGGGAGGTTCTGGAGGGGG